TTTTTTATAAAATAAAACTTTGCAATTAAGGTTAGGGTTAGAGTGAGGCTTGGAGTGGGAAAGGGCATAGTTTATATCAAAATTTGGCAAGGAATTTTTTGTTAGAACATAAATGATAGTTTCATAGTCAAATTTTTGATTTCTTTAAAAAAAAAACTGGGTTTGTTTTGATTTCACGTTACACCTGATCTTAAAATTTAATTGGCTTCATTACAATAAGTTTTAAAAGTTGTACAAAAAAGACACTTTATGCAAGGCATCTTCCGGATAATAATTTTGGCCATTACAACATTAGAAATGATTTTTTTAAAAAAACATGTATGCTATATAAATATATATTCTAAAAAAATTATATTAAAGTTCCTTATGCTGTATTTTGAAATTTTATAATTCTATCAGTAATAAACAGATTTCTATAATCATGAATTAGGTGCTATAGTTGTTAAACAAAACCTCGAGGTTTCGTGCTGACGAAACGTGAAACCTAGTTTCATCTTTCGTCAATTAAAATTTTAAATGATGAACTGACGAAAGATGACGAAACTGACGAAACTGTAAAGGGTGACAAAACTAATAAAGATGAATATAATTAAATATTTAAAATCATAGAAGATTATATAATAAAAAAAATAAACAAAAACAGACTTGCTTCGGGTAATCGAAGTATGTGTTAAGTTAGTTTCGTCGATTATAAGCTACAGTAACAATAGTTCGTAGTTAAGATTGAATTATATTAGAATATTGTAATTTTCCTATGAGTTGCTGCAAGAAATTCAGTTACAAAACTCACTCGACATTCAGATAATCAAAAATATAGAGAGTTAATTTTGTATTGGAATTATTGTAATTTCTATAAAGAGTTGCTTTAAAATAACCTTTCTGTTACAGAATTCGCTATTCTAGTCAGTATGACATGTGATTAAGGTTAAGTTAGCTTGCATCACTTCTATCATAAGCTAAAGTAAAATATTCCAGTGGCAAGGTCTGTAGTATACTTTCTTCGTTACTTTCTTCGTTACTTTCTTCATTACTTTCTTGATTCTTGTTTGACATACTACTAATAAACTTATTATCAAACTTTAAAGTTCCAGAAAAATGCATGCAACCATGTAGTTAAAGTCGAGTTAGTTTGTAATCATAAGTGGTAAATTAGTTTATCATAATTTTCATTTTAAGTTGCTATAAAAAAGAATTCGCTATTCTAGTAAGAAATAGATTTTCATGAATTAATGTAAAAACTCTTTTGCTGTACTTACTACTCTAGTAATATATGGTATATAGTATGTTATTAACATTATCCATGTCCCAGTTAAGATATGTATGAAAACCGAGTAAACTACAATGCATCTATAAATCATCACAGTCAGCAAAGGTCGGTGAACTATTCTATTATGATATTTCTGATCGCATTTTAAACCCATTATAAATCTTACATCATGTATAACATCATGCTAAATTTCCTTATAAAATATTTATAGTTATGTTAAAAACCAATCTTCTTATATATAGGCATGTGTTATTCAAACAGAATGTCAATTATTTTTGAAGACACCAAGTCTTCTATAAACATTTTGGAATTAATTTTTAGTCTTTTTATAGATGTTTGTAAAACTAATCTCATATCCCTTGCATTGATTTTCAAGTGCACTATTTCTAAATTGCTTACTTCACAATCTAATATTTCAGATAGCTTCATATGTATTAAACCACCTAATACAAAGCTTCTTTAAATTTTTGCCTTGTAATTTAATTTGAATAAACTTTAAAATTCAAATTTCTTATTGTTCTAGTATTTTTTGCTAGAATCTTCAATAATTTAACATTGAAGTCTGGTATAATGTCCAAAAATAAACATTGTAGCTATTCTCTAATTAGTGAAAAATCTATGGCTTTTACTTTTATATTGTCAGAGGCATTAATATTTTTTTTAATGATGTCTTTAAGATGTCCAATAGCCCTGCTATTTGAAATGTGGTTCTGCTATAAAGTTGAAAGATTCGGGTAAAGCAAATCTATGTAATGTGGTGCCGTTTTCAACAAATAATTTTAATTATAGAATTCATTGATCAGTAGCATGCTGAATGGCAATAGTCATCTTTGTGGTGAGGTTTGGTTCATTTAGAAAAGGGCAATGTGTAGGCGCTACTTGGTCAAAATTAAAAATGTTCAAGTCTATTCGGATTTGATTGCGGCGGTACTAGACATGTTTTTTTTTTTACCATTTGTCACTAACTTGATTGATCTTGATCCACTTTTTAATATTACTTTCTAAATGAGATGATCAAGAACCTTTAAAAATTTTTGCATGATCAAACAATGTTTTGGAAAATTACGTATTTATCCCACATTCTTTTAAAATAAAATTTTCTTCTTCGCCAAGAGATGAAAAATATCCGGAAATAAATAAAATTCTTCGTTTGAATGAAAATGGATTGACATTTTTGCACCAATGTCGGTTCAAAAATGCGCTTGAGTATAAGGAATAAGATTTATTATTTAGATTATTAAGAATATTCCCTATTAATTCGCCCATACTATTTTCAATTAAAAGAATAGAAGTAAAATGATGCCATAGCCTACAAATAGCAAGACTATAGTTGTTAGACGAAACCATGTGATGCTAAATGTCACATATCAAATCAATCAAAATTAGGTTAAATTTTTAGGTCTTGGTATTTTGTGACAGGTGATATTTAGCATCACATGGTTTCGTCTAACAACTATAAGCAAGACCATTACCAATCAGATAAAACTTTACTTTAAGTTTGCTTATATTAAATCAATTGCAAGGAATATTTTTTTGTTAGCTCGCAGAAGGTTATTTCATAGATAAATTATCGGTAGTTTTTAAAGAAATATACATGTAAGCTACGTGCTTATAACTTACATTAAACAATTTAAAATTGCTGTTAATTTGCAACCTTATGCGCAGAAGACAGGTTCATTGGACCGATTTTTGATTGTTTTGATCTGCGTTACACCTGCTTCTAAAATTTGACCTCCCAGTGAAATTTTTAGGATGATGATGCTAGTGTAGTATTGTAATCATGGCGCAAAATTTGGCGCTTCCGTGATCTGACTTAAGATCAATGTGTAACATACAGATTACGAAATAAAAAATCGTTAACAAATAAGTGAATAAAATAAATCGCGAAAACTAATAAATTGCCATTGAAAACTATTAGTAAGAAGTTTTCGTCGCAAGAATTTAAGAATTTAGATATTGTATATAGTGTTGGAGACAACTGGGCACCGATACAGATAAATCAATCAGCACCAAGTCAAACACAACCAACCACATTATATACCTAATGGTTAGAGGCGGTATGGTTTGGCAAGGTAAGGCGTATCAGGTATATTAATATAGTGGGGGGCTAAAGTACGACTTTTTTTTTTATCAAATACTAGTCAAATATGAACACACAAAACTGTTAATCGTTTGATATCCTTTATTAAGGTAAAACAAGTCCATTTTATTCCAATTTTACATGCGAGGGGAGAAAAGAACAAGATCAAACCTTTTAATCTAAGCCCGTCGCGCAATATCACGTCATCAGCTAAATTTCAACACGGCCACAAACCCTTGTTCCTTCACGATTTCTTGGGTTCGGGTTGATAACAATAGCCATATTTTGTAATAATTTTTGGCCAAAATTTATGATAGCATCATCAAATGACCGCTAATTTTTGTGCTATGATATGACTATGGCCCTCACGTATACGGTAAAGATGTTTAAATGATACAAATCAATGAAATCTCAAATGTTGTATATTTCATTTCACGACATCTACAGATCATATGTGAGCTATGAATTCACTAAAATCAGCAGATTCGTTATCTGGCAATTTTAAATTTTTATTATGAAATCAAGTCCCTTAATTAATCATTTTTTTGTATTGTCATATCATGGGTATTTGATTTCAATATGAAAAATTAATGTGAACAATAAGACAATAACATGAAAGAAGCAAATTCTTCAGGAACTTATAACCTTTATTCTATAAAGTAAACTATTCGAAAATTGGAATTCACGTTTTCGCCCAGTTAACACTTGTCAAATACATTTGTGATAAATTTGATATAATACTAAATCTATGATTACGTATTGATTCAATTGAAGCCTAAGGATACTAACGTAATTTGATTAATTTTTATCTGAAGATCTATGTATGATAAGAATTATTATCGTGTAACATGCTTTGAATTTTATTGAGTGCCTATGAACGTTCTAACGGAATATTTTGGCCTGGTTATTGTTATGAATATGGAATTGTGTCGAAAAGGATGAATATAAAACATTTGATTATTGCCAAAATCTGCGGACATGAATAACTCTAATGAAATGTTTCAAGTTGGTCACTAGGAATTGGTGTTGAAAAAGATGTGCAAAAAGCGTTTGCATATTATCAGAAATCATCTAAGGTAGATAATCCTAAGGAATACTTAAAACAGCCATTTGTTATAGATATGGTGTTGGCATGGCAGAGGATTATGACAAATTCAGAAGTTATCTTCGATTTAATAAATTTTCAAATTTATTTAATCTTTTAGGTGTATAATAATCAACTAATATCAACCATTCATATTTATAATGATTTATTAAACGATAAAATCATTTATTAAAAACATTTGTCAGTACACACTATCTCTTAACTAATTTTATTTTATTTATTTAATTTATTGTAGTTTGTGAGCATAATATCTTTTATTATTGGTTATTTAAAAGAAGCTGTTCAAATTCACAAATATTATTCATTTAATTTTATCCAATACACAATATTAGTTTAGTCCGTGAGTATAAGGATCATTTATTAGCATCATCGGCGGCTCAAGAACCTCTGAAATCAGGTATGGTTAACTAAATACCAATTATCTCACAATGTGAAAAAAGTACAAAAGACAATTTATAAGCAAAGATTCGACTCTCGGGTTCATTTTATTATTAAATCACTAAAGTTAAATCTGCTGTGCCCAAATATAAATGACGTATCTATCTTATTTATTCTATGCTTTTCTCTCTATTATATCCAGTAACGCCTTTCTCGTGAAACTGCTGAACTTTAGCTTTAAACTTTTCTAACCATTTAATATCATCATCTATTTCCCAACTATTTGCATCATTGACAGATGTAACAAATTGTTTCAGTTCTCCATCCAATCTATTTGTTAACTCTGACAATGACATTTTCTCTCCAAACTTGACAATTCCAATAATTTGACACAATCTGATATAGTCCCGAATAAGTTCTGAGAGTGGATCGAATAGAAGTTGGAGCATAATTGCAAGGCCGTAATCAATAAGATAGAAATGCTCATTTCTCCGAATAACGTTCCGAATGGCCACATCCCCATGTGCATAGCCACAGGTGTGGATCTGCTCCAAACACAATAATAAGTCTAGAAGGATTTGAAAAAGTGTGCAATCATCTATACCACCATTATCAGAAATCCAAGTTTCCAGTGGTTGTCCTAAAAAGTCAGTTATTATTGCCCAGGACCCTCCCTCTGTATGTCCTTCAAAAAGAATTTTGGGAACACAAGAAAGATCACCTAGACCCCGCAACGCCGATATTTCTTGATAGGCTTGTGAAAATTAGGGATCTTTACGAACTTCAATCTTTAGGCAAAATTAGTCAACCGATATAGTAAATTTAATATATATTGTAAGATACATTTCTGCAATTAACCTACCTTTAAAACAACATCCACTATTCCATAGTCACATATTTGTGCAAAAAAAACTATACTGTCTCTTCCGGTTCCAAGATGAGATATAACTTGTACATTGATCCAATTTCCAGAACTTAATCTAATACGATAACCCTCTTTGATGAAAGAAGCTAAGAGACTTTCAGCAGTATAGCTTTTTCGAGCCTTGTTGATTGTGTTGTCATTATTTAGAGATTCCTTTTTTCCGTCAGACAAGTATTGATGATAATATTTACTGATTAGGCCAGCAATGAGTGAGGCCGTATTATCATTCCATTCATACATTTCACTTTCTTCAAGTGACATTTTGTCTTTGAAATTATTTACAAATGAGATTCTTATAAATTTCCAAAGGTTCCCATCAGTTAAGCATCCATAGAAGAATTGTGATAAAGGTACATCTGCTGTAAGGTATATCCTGGCAAACTTTATTAATCGTCCTTTTCCTTCTATTAATTTTTTCTCATCAGTTAAATCATTTTTGATTTTCCAACCCAAGCCCTTTGACAGATCAAGAGGATTATTCGTAAGTTGCTGGTAGAATTCGCGCAAACCAATTATAAGATCAGCATAAATTTCATCATCTTTTCTATTGCCATCATCTCCAATTATAAGTAGTTCATCATGTAACTTCAAATGTTGCAATATTTCTCTTAGGACATTTTTACAAAATGGCTGATATTCCGTTATTTCATTTGATCCCTTAATACGAGCACGAGGATATTGTTTAAATATTTGGCTACCAACCCATTTTAATGGTTCAATATCATTCTCAAATTTCCACAAAGCCTTGATTCCATTTTTTCGCACATATCTGTACACAGAGGTAGATTTTTTTGCATTTCCTGTTTCAGAATTGAATAACGCAAATCTTAGATCTGCAATTTCTTGGGTTTCGGGGTTATCTTTTGAAAAAACAAAAAAGTTATGATTGTTAAACCATATTTAAGCATAATTAACAGGAAATATTCAAACGCAGTATGCTACCCACTGGAAGGCCGTTCAACAATAATATGGATAGAATTGTCAGCGAGATTCACAGTAAATATATTGCTAATTTTTTTAATAGGATTTAATAATTTCTGGACACCCGTCTGTTCATTGTCTTCGAGGACAATGTCAACTTCCATGGTGTCATCATTGTATGGAACGTTCACCTTCCATAATACAATATCTTTGGCATCAACGTCAGCAAATGTATTAGGTTTCTTCTCCTTAATTTTTTTCTTGATAAAATAAAATGGCTTATTCTTTTCAATTTCTACTACAAAGGCCTTATCTTTACGGTCACCATGAACCAAGCAAATAAGTGTTATATTATCAGACATTGCTTGTAATTGACTCGAGATAGAAAGGCTGTCAGATTTTTAACTTGGTCAATCAGGTTGTCGATTTATATGATAAAATTCCATGACCTTCTAATTTCTTCTATGATATATGTGGCGCAATAATTATGTGAGTGTGGCCTAGAAAGGACTAGGGATCTTCATTTTCTGCTGCGACAGACTAGGGTAGAATCGCCACCCCAAAAATTTCAAATTACTTCGCAGTAAAATATCTCGTTGATAGATTAGGATTAGGATTTTGCCGTTATGTTACCAAAAATTTACAAGTAAAATTTTTTGCTAATGCACAGTATATTAAATTTTGAGTTACGAACATTTGTTTTGAATTTTTCCTAATCGTGCTATGATTGGCCAGCGAAATTTTTGAGGGTGATTTTACCCAGTTGCAACAGACCCAGATTCTGCCAGCTTTAAAACTCGATTTATGCGATAAATCCTTTAGAATTATGCGAATTATGCGATTACTAAGGTATAATAATAATTTATAAATTTTATACTTACCGGCCATTTTATGCACAGATTATGTTCTATCAATTATGCTCTATTAACCTGATAGCGTGTATGTTTCTGCGATAAAATCTGATTATCGTTATGCTACACAAACCAAACTTCAGTTACGTACGTAAAACGCGATTTAAGACATGAATAGACTAATGTCACTTTATTTAGTTTATTTTAATTATTTGATAGCAAAAGGTTGTTATTGATCCATTTGAACCATCGTTGTTAACCCACTAAAAAATCAGTACATTGTTATTAACTTATTAAAAAAAAAAACATTGTTGCAATATATATGCGACATAGGATTGCCGTATACTATCATATGTTGTCATATGAGTCTTTCGATTAATACTTCAAAGAGAGAATTAAAACATATTTATTCATAAAATTTAATTTCTAATTAATTTTTTACTTTACAAGTTAGTTGTTGGTTTCGTCTTATTATTTTATTTTTCCATTGAGCAATGTAAACAAAATTTTTCGCATTTCTATTTTTCATGATTATCTAAGTAAATATTTTTTTCTCGAAACAAGCTTTTACAAACTCTTGTTTTTTCAATCAGTTTGTTTTTCAGAAAAAAGATTTTCTAGTGCACGTCGTTTAGCAGAGATGAGTCATTTTATTTATTTAGACTTACAGTAGAATTAATTTGCGGCACCTACAGTAATTGCAGCGGTTCTTCGTTTCTGAATTGATTATAGTAATGGATTTATTAATGGTAGCGTTAACTAGGAGCTTCTTTGGTTCTTTCAACTCGTCTGGTGTCTTCAACTTCTTAACATTAGTATAAATTTTAGTTTTTCAAATTTTTCGACTTCAACTTATTTTTGACACGTATGATATTGAAATACAGAACTTTATTTCGGTTAAAGAGGGTTTAATGAGTGAAAATATTAAAACACTCAATGGATTCATTATTAATAATGGCATACAAATTTCAATAACGATGGGTCATAACGATGTACTGATTTTTTGTGGGTCAATATCAAAATTTTTATCCCAATTGTACCAATTATTCTATTTTTGTTGAGAATTTTTTCCTTCGTTTATCCGGTGTCACCCGATGGAGACCTTAATCTTTCAGAATTATCCGATAAGGCTGACAAAAATATATACGTTACTAGGTTATATCCTATTGAAGACATATCGACACGCTTTTACAATGGAATAAAACCCAGTGACGTAAATATTTCTACATCTATAACCAAAAAAAAATAATAAAAGTCTGACTTGCGACCCAATTTTCAGGTTCCATGCTATATAATTAATTTTGTGTGGCCTAATCTAATGAAATTCATGAAATTTTACTAATGGGTGATTCATAATTAACATATTTCGAAAATAAGTGAGGGTACAAAATGTCCTATTTCTGGTTTGAAATATTGAAATCAGAAAAAGAAATAGGAGTTATCCGGAGATAAAATGAGTACCTTTTTTTTTGATGATTTGTTGTTATCATATGATATTATCGTAATAAATTAATAAAGAACTACGAATTATCGGTTTAAATTTTTTAAAAATCTTAAGTAATATTACATATTTATTTTAAAATTACTATAATTAAAATGCCTTCCAAAAAAAAAACTTTTAAACAAACCACTAAAGAAGAGACCTTGGGAAAAAATCATTAAACTTGATGGTTTTTTGACGAATAGTAAGATATCGATCTAATTCGATAGTCCATCGATTTTTTTTCTTTAATATTAGCTATATTTTTATGAGTACTATTAAAATATTCTTCTATTAATACTTCTAAAATATTATTTGTGTTTTTAATATATAATTGTCTTCAGAAATATAAGGCATTTTAAAATATATATGAAAAGAAATCATCAAGTCTCGAAAGAAAATCCACGATCATAAAAGTTATTATATAAATAAGCTTACAAATCAAAATGAATAAGATTTATGAACCACTGATTTCGAAATAAATACTTCATTAATTTAATTTGAAATCAGAAACCTGAACCTTAATTTGAATAACTCCAATATTTCTATAATATACATCTTTACATATTGTCTCTCATCGTTTATTCTATTCGTGCAAGTATAATGGGTGAGTATATATATAAAGTTCATTTCTTAATTAATGCCATAAAGTCAATACGTTTTTAATACGTTTATTTATAATTTTATTAAAGGTAACATCAACTATTGTAATACAATAAGTTGTAAACATGCCAAATGGGCTATGTATAAACTTGCATAAGCTACGATGTACCTATGAATTTCATGTAAGTTATTCAGCTCTATGGCTAATAAGATTTTCTGATTTGCTAAAAGTTCAATTATTAGCGATTTATAATCGTGACTTACCATATGTGGTCGTGCAACATTTATTATATGTAATATGTAACATGATCATTTCATTTTTGGCTGTTCGTATCTCTCTCATGCAGAGATCGACATAAAAAATTTCCATCCGAAACCCAAAAAAGGAAATATTTAGTCCCGCCATTTTTTATATAGATTACACGATCATGATCATGATCAAGAAGATATAGCGAGAAAAAAAAAATATATATTGCGAACCGTAGAAGATAACTTACGAATTGTGGTAAAAAAGCATCTTTTAGATGTTCATATAGGTGACCCGAATATGTTTAACCCTCTGTTTTTTAACTTTCTTTGTCATTTTCTTTTTTTTTATCGGATTTTTTAACGGTATGATTAATTGATAATCACTGATCGCCAAAGACATTGGCGAAAGGCCATA